CCCGGCCACCCCAGCCTCAACCTGCTGGGCTCCGGCGATCCTTCCGCTTCAGCCTTCCAAGTAGCCGGAATTACAGGCATGCTCTACCACACCTGGCTGACTTTTTGATTTATTGTAGAGATGAGGTCTTGCTGCCCAGGCGGGTCTCGAACCCGCGGACTCAGGCAATCCACTTACCCCAGCCTACCAAAGGCGCGGGATTATAGGCTGAGCCACCAAGCCCGGCTCAATGTACTTATCTTTAGGAAAAAAGTCTTATTTACAAGTTGAAGAACAAAGGTAATTCTTTTAATAAATGTAAGTTTTAAAAAAACATTCATTTTGCAGTACTATCATGACAAAAGTGAATTTCCTAAGAACAGCTAGGTATCCAGTGAAGCATTAAGAGGTGAACTCTTTTGTCAATCATATTCAGAAAATCTAATGTGTTTACTTGCTTGTTGAGTCTTTTCCAGTCTAATCTTTTCAGCTTTGGTGATTAACTACAGAGAAAGAAATCAGAAATTAGAATGTATTGGGTAACTAAAAACAAAGCAAAATTATGACTAGAAAAATTTCACAACTATTACCTTGAATAAAATTTGTTAAAAACAGGGAGAAAAAGACAAATGCAGTAATTATGCTTAGGTTAAATCAATTACAAATCAAATCTGCTATTAAGACTACTTATCATTTCTTATACCCTTACATAAAATGTTGGTCATTTTTTTTTTTTTTTTTGAGTTAGAGTCTCACTGTCACCCAGGCTGGAGGGCAGTGGCATGCTCCTGGCCACCGCAACCTCGACCTGCTATGCTCCGGCGATCCTTCCGCCTCAGCCTTCCAAGTAGCTGGAACTACAGATGTGCACTACCACACCCGGCTAATTTTTTTGATTTATTGTAGAGATGAGGTCTTGCCAAGTTACCCAAGGGGGTCTCGAACCCGCGGGCTCAGGCAATCCGCTCAGCTCGGCCTCCCAAAGCACGGGATTACATGCTGAGCCACCGAGCCCGGCTCGTTGGCTAATTTTTTTTTTTTTTTTGAGTTGAAGTCTCACCCTGTTGCGCAGACCGGAGTGCAGTGGCCGTTCCCAGCCACTGCAGCCTCGACCTGCTGGGCTCTGGTGATCCTTCCGCCTCAGCCTTCCAAGTAGCTGGAAGTACAGGCTAATTTTTGATTTATTGTAGAGATGAGGTCTCGCCAAGTTGACCAGGCGGGTCTCGAACCCGCGGGCTCAGGCAATCCTCTCACCTTAGCCTCCCAAAGTGCTGGGATTACAGACTGAGCCACTGAGCCCGGCTTGTTGGGTATTTTTTAAAGAAGGCAAATGAAATTACAAGGAATACAGAAGAAAATTGTCTACAATTTTCCAAAAGTTTCCTTGATGAAAAAAGTTAAAAGAGGTCGGGCTTGGTGGCTTAGCCTGTAATCCCAGCGCTTTGAGAGGCCGAGGTGAGTGAATTGCCTGAGTCCGCGGGTTCGAGACCCGCCTGGGCAACTTGGCAAGACCTCATCTCTAC